ATTAAAGCATAATCTATTGAGTATTAGTCAATTATGAGATAATGGATACAATGTCTTGTTTGAAACTAATGGTTGTAAAGTAATTGACATTGCATCTAATCAGATTATGCTTATTGGTCATAGAATATGAAACATATACATGGTGCATTTAGACTCTATTGATATGACTAATTTATGCCTAGTTGCCAAGGATGAACATGATAGTTGGTTATGGCATAGGAGACTAGGACATGCTAGCATGAGTGTTTTGCAACGATTAATTCAAGGAGATTTAGTAAGAGGGTTGCCTAAACTGAAATTTGATAATGATAAAATTTGTGATGCTTGTGCTAAAGGAAAACAAAAGCGAGTTTCTTTTAAATCCATTAATGATGTATCCACTAGTAGAGCATTACAATTGATCCATATAGATCTTTTTGGGTCAATTAGGACTGTTAGCTTGGGTGGAAAACAATATTGTTTTGTCTTGGTAAATGATTATTCTAGATATACTTGGGTTCTATTTTTAAGTACTAAAGATGAATCATTAGAAAAATTCATCACGTTTTCAAAAGTAATCCAAAACGAAAAAGGTTACTCCATAGCTAGTGTTAGGAGTGATCATGATACTGAATTTGAAAATCTTGGATTTACTGATTTTTGTAATTCTAATGGTATTAACCATAATTTTTCAGCACCTAGAACCCCTCAACAAAATGGAGTTGTTGAGAGGAAAAATCGAACTTTAGAAGAAATGGTTAGAACCATGCTTTGTGAAAAGAATTTGCCAAAATATTTTTGGGCGGAAGCCACAAATATCACTTGTTATATTATAAACTGAGTAATGATTAGGTCAATTTTAAAGAAAACTCCATATGAACTTTTCAAAAATAAAAAGCCTAACATTAGTTATTTTCATCCTTTTGGATGTAAATGTTTTGTTTTAAACAACGGTAAAGACAATCTTGGAAAATTTGATGCTAAAAGTAATGAATGAATTTTTCTGGGTTATTCCTTAAATTCTAAAGCTTATCGGGTATTTAATAAAAGAACTTTAGTTGTAGAAGAGTCTATACATGTTGTTTTCGATGATAATCCCCTTCTGAGGAAGGATTCTTGTGTTAATGATAATGTAGGTATTGTAAATGCAAATGACGTTGGAGAACCATCATTAAAGGAAGAAACGAAAGATGAGGAAACTCATGATCCCCTAGAGAATCCAATCATTGAAGAAACGGAAGTATCTTACCAAGAGAGTACAACTATGTCAAGGATGGTGAAATAATAGGTGATCCATCCAAAGGGGTAACAACTCGATTTTCTCTTAGAAATATATGTAACTATGTTGCATTTATTTCATGCATAGAGCCTAAGAACATCAAAGAAGCATTATATGATGAACATTGGATTATGTCTATGCAAGAAGAGTTAAATCAATTTGAGAGAAGTAAAGTATGTACATTAGTTGAAAGGCCTACTAATAAATCTATTGTAGGTACTAGATGGGTATTTAGGAATAAGCTTGATGAAAGTGGTAATATAGTGAGAAACAAGGCTAGACTTGTTGCTCAAGGCTATACTAAAGAAAAAGGCTTAGACTATGATGAAACATATGCTCTCGTAGCTAGGATGGAAGCAATAAGAATGTTATTAGCATTTGCATGTTTCAACAAATTTAAATTATATCAAATGAATGTTAAAAGTGCATTTTTAAATGGTTTTATAAAAGAAGAAGTGTATGTGGAACAACCTCCAGGTTTTGAAGATTCAAAATTTCCAGATCATGTTTTTAAATTGACTAAATCACTTTATGGTTTAAAGCAAGCTCCTAGAGCTTGGTATGAAAGATTGTCAAACTTTTTAATTGAAAAAGGTTTTTCAAAAGGGAAGGTTGACACTACATTTTTTTTTAAAGAGAAAAGGTAAAGATTTATTAGTAGTTCAAATTTATGTTGATGATATAATATTTGGTTATACTAATTATGTAATTTGCCAAGAATTTTCAAAGCTAATGCAAGGTGAATTCGAGATGAGCATGATGGGGGAGCTCTCGTATTTCTTGGGACTCCAAATCAAGTAAATAAAAGATGACATCTTCATCAATCAAGCAAAATACGTCAAGGATATGCTGAAGAAGTTTGGATTGGAAAATGGGAAACCTTACGCCACTCCAATGAGCTCTTCTACAAAGCTTGACAAAGATGAAGGAGGTAAATGTGTGGATGTTAAATTATATAGGTCAATGATTGGTTTGTTGCTTTATCTAACCGCAAGTAGACCGAACATTATGATTAGTGTTTGTTAATGTGCTAGATTTCAATCATGCCCTAAGGAATCACATTTACTAGCTGTTTAGAGGATCTTTAGATACCTTAAGGACACTCCTATTTTAGGACTTTGGTATCCTAGAGACTCTAGCTTTAGCTTGCATGCCTTCTCAAATGCGGATTTGGAGGATGCAAAATAGATAAGAAAAACACCTCCGGTATTTGTCAATTCCTAGGAAATATGTTGATTTCTTGGTTTTCAAAGAAACAAAATTGTGTTGCATTATCTACCACTGAAGCAGAATACATTTCAGCTGATAGTTGTTGTGCACAAGTTTTATGGATAAAACAACAACTTTTAGATTATGAAATTGAAGTAGGTACCATACCTATCAAGTGTGACAACACTAGTGCTATTTGTCTCATTAAAAATCCCATCCAACACTCTAGAACTAAGCACATTGAAATTAGACATCACTTCATTAGAGACCATGTCGCTAAGGAAGATGTAGTTCTAGAATTTTTTGACACTTTGCACCAATTAGCGGATATTTTTACAAAACCTTTAGATAAAGAAAGATTTTGGACACTTAGAAGAGAATTATGTTTAACGGACCTATCTTCACTTAATGTTTAAAATAATTTTAGCACTTTTAAATTAGAATTTGAAAAATGCTTATAAAAATAACACTTTTGATTGCATTCTTTGCTATTAGTTAGGTGAAGTTTATGATTCTTAGTGAAAATTAATATTATGTTCAAATAAAATTTTAAATATAGATTTGATTGATTGAACATTGTTAATTTTCGATTTATGAGTTGCCAATACCACTAGAGCTAATTAATTTAGCATTTTAAAGTGTTTAAAAGGGATTTTTTACATTTTTGTGCTTAATGCATAGATACACTAGAGAGTGTACCGATGCATCCCTTGAATGTGCATCGATACATCGTGAAGATGCACCGATGCATTCCTTGAATGTGCATCAATGCACTTTGTTGTGCATCGATACACCCGTCGGGTTTTGGGTATTAAATCCCTAAAATTTTTCATTCTTTCAAAACCCCAAAACAAAACTCTCTCACACCGTACGCCCCTCTCTCTTACCATAATCTCAAAATCGCTCAAAATCAGCGTTTTAAAGTCGGAATCCTCTTGCATTTCAACTCCAAATCCTGCTACTATCATTTATTCATGCAAAACATCTGTAGAAAACATTTTGTTATTTCGATATAACAAATTAAGTTAAATGAATTTTAATATTTTCCAAATGATTTTCTAAGTATATTCGATATAATTATTCGAATATCAAAACATTACTCCAAATATTTCAAAAATCATTTTTAATCCTTACTTAAGTGTAAAATTAAGTTTTAATCTTAAAACATTTTCAAAATAATCTTTCAAAGTATTTCGAACCATTTCAAAGCCAAAAATTCCAGATTGCTCATAGGGAACCGATTCCCCAAGGGGGTACCGATTCCCCCTGAATGGTTCGGCTCTGAGATTTCCAGAATGCTCGGAGGGAACCGATTCCCCCATAGGGGGTACCGATTCCCCCTTATTCAACGGTCAAAATATTTGAATTTTACACTTAGGGAACCGATTCCCTATGAGAGGGTACCGATTCCCCCCACGCTCCAAGTATTTTTAATAAATGTTTTCACACTTAAACGGCTATATTATCTTCATTAATCATCCCTAACGTTCAGAAGTGATTCAAGGTGTATTTAAGCAAGCTTAGAAGCCATTGATCAAAAGCAAGAAACATCAAGCAACTAGAATCAAGAGAGAATCAAAGAGAAAGCATCAAACCTCAGTTTGAGCATTTCAAACCTATTTTCATTCAATATTCATTTTGCTTTCAAGAACACATATTGTGCTCAATTGTATTCATCTTTGAGTGTTCTTTTCTTTGTTCTAGAATTGTGCAAACAATCTACCTTGTGAGGATTTCCTTGTAAGTTTGCAAATTTGTATTGTTCTCTTTGGGAGAGAGTTTTCTCGAGAATTTGGGGTATAATTCTTGAGGGTTTGTAAGGTTACTCTTTGTCCTCAAAAGAAAGACAAATTAATGAATTTGTGGAAAATCCTTAGTGTGGATAGCTAAGGTAGTGGACGTAGACTTTGATTGAGAAAGTCGAACCACTCTAAATCACTGTGCAAATCTTTTCAATTTTCTGCAAAAGCTTCCACCGAAATTTTAATTGCCAATTCACCCCCCTCTTGGCCGATTCCGTCGATCGATTAACTCAACAACATCACTACATTCCACTCCATCTGAATTTTTCAAGGTAATATTTCAAAAACTGTTGTTTTATTGATTTTTGAACATAGAACTAGTTTTAATTAGTTCTAGGTTGAAATAAGTATCGGGCATTGATCATATAATGTTTAGAAAATATATGTTACAATCAATTTTATCAAAAACACACAATTTTTCAAAAAAATTTAAATTTTTGAAATAAAAAAATGTTTTTGATTTTAAAATTGATGTTTTTGATTTAATTATGTTGTTTGAAAACTACATATTAGTTTTCAAACATTGTTTTCAAAATTATTTTCAAACATTGTCCATTAGGATTCGGTTTAGAGAACCTTGAATATTGCGGGCTCTTATTGAGTTTTGGGATTGATTATATTGCATACATGTGTTTCAAATTTTTAGGTTATCTTACTCATTCTGATTTCCTTAACCATCTCTAATCCTAAACGCCCTAGGACTTCATCGAGTCGTTCGAGTCAAAACTGACCTCCTATTCCTTCACCCAATCCAAATCTAAATCCGAACGATCCAAATATGACCATTCTAAACTCTTGTTTTAATATACCCGGTTGTCGTAGAGAAGAACTCTACCATAGGTACCATAATTATTTTGAGTCATATAAAATCTGGGAAGAGCGTATTCCCTCAATTCAAGCTATTGTTGATATAAATTTTCCATATCTTCCAACTCTTAGGTCCTGGAAATTTGATAAACTTTTTCACCTTAAACCGATTGTTTATCATCAATTAGATCGCATTTTCTATTCTAATGCGGTATGTGTCCAAAATGAGCTACGAACCGCAACCTTAGGAATTCGATCCTATCTTTTAGAACAATTCATTTATATTGACAATGACACAATCGCTACCCAATTTGGACTAGATAACAATGGTTTAGATAATGAGAAAGAGATTGTGGCAACTCCCTATAAATCTAAGGGTAGTCTTAATACCATACGAACTCATCACGAGCAATTCCTTTATTTAATGATCTCTTGGTGGTTTAGACCATCCGGAGGTAGGTACTCCTCTCTTAGGGTCATAGATTTATGGTGGATACATTGTATCCAACATAACAAGAAAATAAACTTGTCACAGATTATTTTTAGTGAGCTAGTAGAAACCATAAATGTTGTCCCATCCAAAAAATATAAAAACTTTAGTTTATGGTTATCTCCTCAGTAATCTGTTTATCAAACTCGGGCTTAGGGTTTTGCTTGATATTCCCATCCCTCTCCAGAACCAAATCAATCTCACTTCCTTAAAGAAATCGGGATGGACGGAGAAAATGGTCAATGGGTTCGATCCGTTGAGAAAACACTAGGAGCTAGCTCTTCACGAGCTCCACCGACATCGACACCGGCTGCGAACGATGATCTAGAGCTTCAACAGCTTATGCAAGATATTGATGACGTACCCGACGATGATCCACCGGCACTGGCACGGCAAGAAGATCCAATGCCTTCATATTTTTGATCATTTATGGTGACGTTCGATCTAAGGTTTGCATCCATTGAGTCCCATTTAACAACTATGAGAGCTCAACAACGGGAGATGAATGAACGTTTAGATGCGCTCACACTTGAGATGCGAGCACGTTATCCTCCTCCTCCCAATCCTCCAATGGATTAAACCTTGTCTTGCTTTAGTTTTCTTGAATTGGATTTAAAACTTATTGTTAAACATTTTGATGTTTTTTGGATTGTTTTGGATGATTGAATATTTGGGTTTATGTTTTGGATGTTTGGATGTTTGATCTTAAAAGCTTAATATATATATTTGGTCTGTTTGAATTTTTAATTTTAACTTAATGTTTATTTATTTTTGCATCTTTTACATATTAGTGCAATATGACCAATTTATCATCTCACATTTGTTTATGAATATTGATTTATGAAACTAATGGCTAACATTTCTCTTGATTGTGATCTTAGAAGCTATCACTTTATCTATTTAAAATCAATTGGAAAAAACTTGTTTTAAACTTTTTAGAGTCTTTTTTTTTTGATTTAACAAAAAGGGGGAGAAATGTTAGAGTAAGGGGGAGTAATTTTTCAAACTTGATTTCAAAAATGATTTTCAATTAGAAAATCTTAAAATTACTAAAATGTTTTGTTATATCAAAAAGAGGGAGATTTTTGAAAACATTTTAATGTTTCGATATAACAAATTAAGTGTTAATGAATTTTAAGATTTTATATTGAATTTTCAATTATATTCGATTAAATTATTCAAATATTAAAATATTACTCCAAGGATTTCAAAGATCAATTTCAATCCATACTAAAGTGTAAAATTGTGTTTTAAAATTAGAATATTTTGTAAACAAGTTTACAAAGTATTTCGAACCAAAATCGAGCCAAAAATCAATTTTATGAAGGGATGTACTGATGCACACTTTGGTGTATCGATGCACACCCTATTTCAAATGCATTAAGTGTACCGATGCACAGACCATGCATCGATGCACTCAGGGTTTATTGAAACATCAAAAACATTTTGTGTACCGATGCACAAACCATGCATCGATGTACTCCAGGCTCTTTTGAAACATGGAATGTAATTAGTGTACCGATGCACCCCTAGTGTATCGATGCACTAAGTCTTATAACGGTCGAAATATTTGAATTTTACACATAGTGTACCGATACACTATCCTTGTGTACCGATGCACACAGGCTCCCAACTGTTTTATTTAATTGTTTTCACACAATAACGGTTCTATTGACTCCACCAATGATCCCCAACGTTCAGAAGTGATCCAAGGTGTATTTAAACAAGCTTAGGAGCCATTGATCAACAACAAGAAACAAGAATTAAGAGAGAATCAAAGAGAAAGCATCAAACCTCAAGTTTGAGCATTTTCAAGCCTATGTCATTCAATATTAATTTTTGCTTTCAAGAACACTTATTGTGCTCAATTGTATTATTCTTGAGTGTTCTTTCTTTGTTCTAGAATTGTGCAAACATCTTACCTTGTGAGGTTTTTCTGTAAGTTTACGAAATTTGTATTGTTCTCTTTGGGAGAGAGTGTTCTCAAGAATTTAGGGTATAATTCTTGAGGGAGTTGTAAGGTTACTCATTATCCTCAAAAGAAAGAGAAATTAGTGAATTTGTGGAAAATCCTTAGTGTAGATAGCTAAGGTAGTGGACGTAGACTTTGGTTGAGAAAGTCGAACCACTCTAAACCTTTACATTTTACTTTAAATTCACATAATATATTTCTTTTCGAATGACAGTTGTAAACTAGATACCATGCGGATATGATTAATTTCTTGACGTAAATAATTTTGGGTATGATTGCTATTTAATGAAAAAACATGTTTGGGTAGGTATCATGACTGGGAAGGTGTTAATTTCTCTTCAAATAGCATGATTTTTATCTTTATCGATTATCTCACCTATACTAAGTCATTTCTTATCATTTTTGTGTCATTTATCGCCTTTCTACATTGCATTGTCATGACATAATAGAAAGATGTTGATCCATAATTCACTATCGAATAGAAATGTTTCATAAAAAGGAGAAAAAAATTTCACTCAAATAGTCGCATACACAGACGTGCACTGATGGCTAAAGGAAGTCCAGAGAGAACAAAGATAAAGAATCAACCTAATTTAGACCAAGCGAAAGCATGTTTGTAAAGATGGACTATATTGTAATAGTGAAGACTTTTATCTCTAATAAAACTTGTTTTATGATATTTATCTTTGGGACCAACACTTTTTGCATTCGCATCTTTCATTCTGCATGGCATTTATTTAAGCATTTTTACATACATTGATCCTAGATACATGGTTTTATTTCATGAAGGACTCTTAGGAGGTGTTTCTAAATGCGCAACTTTATTCACACATTGCTAAGAATGGAAGCAAAATTTGAGAAATTGAAGAAAGAACTGGAAGAGAATTTGCAAAGGATGCAAAAAGATTGGGAAGGTAAAATGGAGCAAGTGCAAAAGGCCAATGTGGATCGCATCTTGCAAAAGCAAAACAACCTTTTTGACCAAATTATAGCAAAATTAACTAGGCTCAACCAAGAAAGAGGTAAAGATAAGATTTCCTCAACCATTGAAACCTGTAACTGTGTGATGGCATCGGCTAATCCACAACCACTCATTTCACCCGAGAGGCTTCCAAGCCACCAAGTAGGCTTCTAACCCTACTGATCATAACATGTCTGATCGTGATGAGATGGAAAAAAATCCAAGAATGAGATCCTTGAGAACTTAAAAAATTGGTGCAAAGAGACATTCAAATGAATAAGAGGACAAAGCTCTCATACTGAAACTAATGCAAGTGAACTAGTTTTGGTTCCTGACTTGGTGCTCCCGCCCAAATTCAAAATACCTGATTTTGAAAAGTACAATGGAACCAGTTGCCCTACTGCCCATCTCACAATGTTTATTCGAAGGATGAATGGATACACCAATAATGATCAGATGTTGATTTATTGCTTTCAAGATAGTTTGACTAGACCCACTTCTAAGTGGTATAATCAACTAAGTCGTATTCAAATCTGGTCCAGAAGGATTTGGCTTATACCTTTTTGGGTTAATCCAAGAACATGAATGGTATGGCCCCTGATCGAAGAACACTGCAAAATATGGAAATGAAGCATAATGAGGGCTTCCGATAATATGCAAAACGATGGATGGATGTTGCATCTCAAGTTCATCCACCAATGATTAAAAGGGAGTTCATCACTTTGTTCATTGATACATTAAAATTTCCATACATTAACCACATGTTAGGACCTTCCACTAAGAGTTTCTCTGACGTCATCATGTGTGGAGAAATGATTGAAATAACTGTCAAGAATAGCAAGATAAGAGGCAATAGCAATACTGACATTGAGAAAAGAGCTGAGATTAACATAGTGGGATTTATCTAGCTAATCAGTGGACTAAAGCTCATAAGGTGTTCCGTGAAAAGACTCCCATCAATCCAATTTCAATGACATATGAGGAATTGCTCCCAACGCTAGTTGAGAAGAACCTTGTGACTCCAGTTCAGTCTAAAGCAAAAGAGGCCCCACATCTTGAAGGCCATGATGTTAATGCCATATGTAGCTACCATATTGGGAGCTCAGGGCACACAACTGAGAATTGTGGGGCATTGAAGTGCAAGGTACAAAATCTGATTGATTCAAGGGTGTGGACATTCGATGTATAATGTGGCATTCTGATCAGGAGTGGGCTACGACATCCATCAGGAATTTTTGTTGCACTCACATTAAAGGCATTTCATCTTGCTTGAACTTTTTTTTCATTACTTCTTTCTATGTTTAAATGTTTGTAAGTCAATTGAAATTCGAACATTTTAAATAAAATGTTACCTTCTGAGGTTATGAGTAATGAGAACATTTTAATCTTGAAATTCTTTGAATATCAACTCAATTAAAAGCTATTTAATAATTGAGGTTATAAATCTTTGACAATTGACAAGATTGAACCCCTGCAAAACAATGACCCTTGATCCTAATCTAAAATCTATACTCGAATATCACAATCTTATCTTACTAGGACAAAAATAACCATCT